CCCCCCCAGCATCTCTTGTCATTGCTAGCTCCAGGGGTTGGACTAGAAGACCTCCGAGGTCCCTTCCAACTCCGTTCTTCTGTTGTCCTTCTGGTCATTTAACAGTCATGTCATCTAACCTCCCTTTAAATCTTTTTATTAATTTACCTCGCCCTTGAGTTATTTCCCCTTTCCCCACTTTGCTGAAATCAAGGTATATTACATCTACCGTATTCCCCTTATCTATTAAAATTTTTCTGTCTCGTTTTTTCCCCCCTAGACGGCCATCAAGAGAAACAATCCTCGTAAATTCCTGCGGAGTGTTGGAGATGGAGAAACGGTGGAGTTTGATGTGGTGGAAGGCGAGAAGGTGCGGTGGCATCCCTGGGCGTCCACCCGGAGCCGAATCGGGGTCCCCCACTCCATCCCACCCCACCCGAGAACCTGACCGACCCCTTTTGTTGTCTTCCGCAGGGGGCCGAAGCAGCCAACGTCACCGGCCCCGGCGGGGTCCCCGTGAAAGGCAGCCGCTATGCCCCCAACCGCCGTCGCTTCCGCCGGTTCATCCCCCGTCCCCGGCAGGCCCAGCTGCCCCCAGATGCTGCCCGGCCCGAGGGGGGCGCCGAGACGGTCAGTGAGGGGGAGAGAGCGGACGAGGCGGTACAGCAGCGCCCACGCAGGAGGCGCCCGCCACCATTTTTCTTTCGCCGGAGATTCGTGAGGGGACCCCGGGCTCAGGCCCAGCAGCCCCAGCAGGCCCAGACCGTGGAAGTGAGTCTGGGGGTGCGGGGGGTGGGGGCAGCCACTGTGCCGGCTCCCACCATGGGACTCCCATCACCCCAGGAAGTTGATCTGTCCTTATGCCAGATAATTCTCTGCTCCCCCAAGAATTTACTTGGGATTGTCTGCGGTTGTGACACACACACCCCTCTTCAAAGGAGGCCTGTTCCCCACCCTCCCCAGAAAAAGGGGAAGGGGCTTGCCAGGCTCAAGTTAGAGACAGCCCCTCCCCAGGAGAAAGCAAAAATTGAGAGGTGGTGCCAGGGTCTTTGCGTGGGGCGCTGTGCGTGTTTCCCCTGGTTTGGGGGGGAGAACTGGGTGGGGAAGGGGTTTTGCGGGTGTCTTGCACCCTCGGAAGAAACTTTTTGGGATGGGGGGGGGGAGATTTGGCACCCAAGAAAGGACCCTCCTGTCCCTCTTCCTGCTTGTGTCTTCTGGATGCTTTGGGGGAGGGGTCCCTTTGACGAGATCTCCCCCCCCCCCTTTTCCAGCCTTCCCAGATTTCCAGATGTGCCAGAAGCTGGACATTGCTCTCGGCTGGGCCGCATCTGGAACGGGATAGGGTTGAATGCAGGGGCTGGACTAGAAGACCTCGGAGGTCCCTTCCACCTCTGTTCTTATTCTGTCTGGAATGGCATAGGGTCTCCGGCTTGAGCAGGGGGTGGGCTAAATGATCTCTNTTGAGCAGGGGTGGACTAGAAGACGTCGGAGGCCCCTTCCAACTCTGTTCTGATTCTGTCTGGAATGGCACAGGGTCTCCGGCTTGAGCAGGGGGGTGGGCTAAATGATCTCTGAGGTCCCTTCCAACTGTTCTTATTCTATCTAGAATGGGATAGGGTCTCCTGTTTGAGCAGGGGTGGACTAGAAGACCTCGGAGGCCCCTTCCAACTCTGTTCTGATTCTGTCTGGAATGGCACAGGGTCTCCGGCTTGAGCAGGGGGGTGGGCTAAATGATCTCTGAGGTCCCTTCTAACTCCTCCTCGTCCTGCTCTTCCCTCCCAGGGCTCTGACAGCACAGATCCCAAAGATGCTACCCAGCCTGAAGGAGACCAGCCTCAGCAGATCCAGGCGGGCGAGAGAGCCCCAGCCCCTCGATTCCGGCCCAGATACCGCAGGCAAGTCTTTCTCCTCACACAACACACACACACACACACACACCTCGCAGACAGAAGCTAACCAGGTTCCAAGCTGGCCTTCCCCTGGTTAAGACGAGGCTGGCACAGGCATTTGCCCATCACGGTTTTGCCCAAGCAGGACGAGACCCACTGTTCGGGGTTTTAGGGAGGGAGAGGGAAAGTTGGCTGGCTTGCTGACCAGGCGGGTCGATTGGACAAGCCAGGATTCCCAGCTTGTGGGGAAAGAGCCTCGCCAATGTTGGTTTGTGCAAGGAACAGAATTTGGAAGGTTTTTTTCCCCCATCGGAAAGTGATTTGCTAAATCGGTATTTCTTCACCTGGAAGACTCCCCGATGGGTGGACTTACGACGCCCAGGAGCCCCCCACCCAGGGTATCGACTCCCCATTGGATTGTCCCGCCGTCTAGCCCTATTTATCTCGGTTTGCCATTTCATTGTCCTGCCATCTAGTCCTTTCAGCTGGTCACGGTGGGTCATTTTTCCCCCCCCTTTGCCGAGATATAATATATTAAGATATATTACGTCTGCTGCATTCCCACCGTCGATTAAGAAAGTTAGTTACCCTATCAAAACAGGCGACAAAGGTAGTCACTTTTGTTCCTGCTTAAGCCGTGATGGATTTTGGTCAATCGTTTTGATGGCTGGGGAATTCTGGGGGCTGAAGTCCGTCCGTTTTCATCCTGTCCAGGAATGGAGGAACGCCGCTCAATGTTATGCCTGGCACCCTAATTATTATTATTATTATTATTATTTTTAACGAACGGCCAATCGTGCTTCCTGGCCTACCTCCAGCTACTCTATCTTTATTTAGCGTTACATTTATATTCTATTTAGTGTCGTGTCTTTTATGATTGATGAGGATTGCAGTTTAGGATCACAATCATGGTTTTATCACGGATAGGTACACTGAGAGCTTACGCGCCAGAAAACAAATGCCTTGTGTAGCCAACCCAAGAATTCTAGTTCTATTTCGCAAGAGGGTCGAATTGCGGTGGGCGATTCCTGCAGGGGCCAATGGCTCTGCTATGTCGAAAGCATATTCTATTATACTAGGTTATAAGAAGTATATTCTATTCTATTTTACATTATAAGTACATTATATTTCCACATGCTATAATAAGTATATCATACTATAATATACTTGTAACCTAATATAATAGAATAAGCTTTCTGCATAGTATAATTATATTATAGTATAATATTGTAACCTAATATANGCCCAAGTTTATAATCAATTTGGGGACAAAGGCTAATTGGATGCCCGTCCTCTTTGAAAAGAGAGATAAAACTCAGTTTAACGGTGACCTTCATTGCCTTAATTAGTTGGCCTGTTACACTTCCCTTCAAACCGACCTCTTTTTGGATGTTGGTTACGAACCCAAACCAAGTTTGTTTTTAATGCTTTAGCCAAGCACTAGAATTTGGAGAACGAGGGCTCCTTAAAGCTCTCCATTTCCTGCGTCGTTTTTAACCCTGATTTGCCGCAAACCGTGGTTAATAAGGAGATTCAAGGTTTATATTTAGATTGATTGAATTTCCTTTCCTTAACCCTGCTCCCATTCTTGCAGGAATGATACCAAAGAGGATGTGTTTGTGCACCAGGTAAGAACCAAGCGTCTCTTAAAAAGTTCCTTTTTTAATTTCCTCCTCGCCCCCCCTGTAATCGCTGCCTTCGTCCTTCACCTCGGCCTTCCTTGCTCCTTGTAGTAAGTTGGAGCCGGAAAGGAAGCATCGCTTTGTTGAAATGGGGAGAAAAAATTGTTGGTGTGAAAACTTTTTTTGGGGGGGAATTTCTTTCCCGTAGCAACATCGGCTGATTCTTGCTAGATAAACAGTCAAATTTGGTTTAGATTTGGGGAGGGGGGGGGCTGTCCAACCTTGGCAATTTTTAAAGACTGGTGGGCTTCTACTCCCAGAATTCCCTAGCCAGCTATGCTGGCTAGGGAATTCTGGGAGTTGAAGTCCACAGATCTTAAAAGCTGCTAAAAGCTACTATTTTTCTTTTTTTGGCTACCATTTTTTCCAAGCGAGGATCGGAGGGCGTAAAATTGAATTGATGAGAATTTCCCGAGGGGTGGGCTCTCTCTGTAGCGACCCCCCGCAAACCACCCCCTCCTACGCCTCTCCTTTCTCAGCCAGCGACACCAATTCGGCGCAATTTGAGCTGTCCTCCCTGGGAGTCCCCGATAGCCTTATCTCCCCCCCGGGATAGTTAACGAACTCCCTCCTTTAATTACACCCATCCGTCCTTCACGCTGGCTCGCCCCATTCCTAATTGCCAGCTTTGTACCCACACCAAAGCTTTAAAAAAAGGACTTTCCTTGTGCAGTTGGTTAACAGCTGCGCTCTTAACCAATTCTCTCGGCCGCTGCCTTGTTTAAGTATTTAATAAATTTAAGTATTTAATAAATTTAAGTATTTAATAAATTTAAGTATTTAATAAATTTAAGTATTTAATAAAT